AGCAACTTTTTCACGTGCTTCGAACTTCTGCAACAACGGTTGCGCGCATGCCAGGGCCATCATCCCTGTCAAATAATACCATATTGGACACATTCGTTTTTTCTTCGCGCGCGCACGCCGTCGTCGTCGGCCGCGGGGCCCTGAATAGTAGCCACGGTCGTCCGCATGCCACGAAGTGAAGTGTCCGAACGTCATAGGGCGGGAAGCTGGGTGTGGGTGGTGGCGAAGAGTCGTATGGAAATTTGGTAGAGCTTGAACCGGCCCCCCCACAAAGTGGGGGTATTGCCCGCCTCCTATGAAAACCCTGGCACTGGTGAGAACGGAGTGTCCCCACGTGCTAGTAATTGTTGTTGTTGTTGTTGTTGTTGTTGTTGAACATTATTAATTCTAAAGAATAATTATTGTTGGGGCCCCTGGTGCGCGCCCCCCCCGCCGCGCCTAGGCCGCAGCCACATTTTCATCATTTTCGTGAGGAAGTCTCAGGCAAAACGGGGTATACCAGATCCGGTTGTGTTGTTACGATCGGTTTTCCCTTGCAAAAAATAAGGCAAAGTGGACATTTCTTGTTCTAACATGACCAAACTTCAAGAATCCCTTGCAAAAAATGACACGAAGTGCACATTCGCGCGCGCAAGACGAAATCCTTCCAAAACCTTAGTCTTCGTAGCGATTTTCACATAAAAACATGAAAAACCCAATGGTTTTTCAAAAAAAGGGTTTCAAAAATTCACCCCGCGCGCTCTTGCGGATTTCTTAGGAAACCCAATACTTTTTCAACATTTCTGTCAAACGGGCTCTTGCGAGCAACTTTTTCACGTGCTTCGAACTTCTGCAACAAAGGTTGCGCGCCTGCCAGGGCCATCATCCCTGTCAAATAATACCATGTGGGACACATTCGTTTTTTCTTCGCGCGCGCACGCCGTCGTCGTCGGCCGCGGGGCCCTGAATAGTAGCCACGGTCGTCCGCATGCCACGAAGTGAAGTGTCCGAACGTCATAGGGCGGGAAGCTGGGTGTGGGTGGTGGCGAAGAGTCGTTTGGAAATTGGTAGAGCTTGAACCGGCCCCCCCACAAAGTGGGGGTATTGCCCGCCTCCTATGAAAACCCTGGCACTGGTGAGAACGGAGTGTCCCCAGTAAAATGATTGTTGTTGTTGTTGTTGTTGTTGTTGTTGTTGTTGTTTTGATGATTATGATTTTGGTGTTCTTGTTTTTGTTGGTATTTTCTACCGGTGGCGAAGAACAGCATCGTGCTGATCGGGCTGGCAACTAGCGTAAGGAACGCATTAGTTCCTCTTTGCTTTGGTTGGTGCGACTACCTCAGTGCAGCGCGGTGTTCATACAGTGCGCCTGTTACACTTGGTTCGTTCACTGATGCTGGAGTTCATTGCATCTGTTGTTGTGCAACTTTGTTCTGTCGGATTGCTGCCTGGCGATTTCCTCCACGTCCTGCTCGACAGCCGTCCCAGAGGGGAAGGGAGGAGCCACAAGAGCTTACGCACTGGCACTGACCGTCTCCCCCCCTTGGGCGCACCTCAACGTATGTGCTTCGTGTGCTTCTTGGGCTTCGCCTCCGAGGGGCATGATCTAGCTGTTGAAGGGCTCCGCTGGCGTGTTCAGGGCGGTCTGCGAGGTGGGCTGGGCGCCCGTGGCCTCCGTGCAACAAGTGGCGGCGCTCGTCTGAGTTCCCCGCCGGCATCGCGGACGACGAAGCAAGCATGGCCCGCTACCGCGGGGTTGGCTCCAGCTGGGCTCAGATGATCTCGTTATGTCACGTTCGTTGGCGCATCGGTTGCTGGACACATGGTGAACGAAGTCACTGTCTTAAGCAGTGGCCTGGCAT